AATCTATCAGACTTCGAAGAGCTGCTCAGAGAGGAATGCCTGGAAAGCGGTCATTATAAATAAACCATCTCATTTTCGAAGAGAAGAAAACATTTAGTAGAACTGCAAGCTCTATATGTAGAAATATTGCACTTACTTCTTTTGGTGGTGCCGGTCTTCTTCGTCCTTCTGTGAAGATATTTTCTTTGCTGTAATAAGAGCTTAAGTTGCACAGATATATTTCACTTCCGTTGCAAAATTCTAGTATATAAGCATAAGGCCTGTCCAAAGCAAAAAGACTGATTCTCATCCCTTTTTATTTGATCCCGGAACCAGAAAAATCTTATCTTATATTGAATGAAGCTTTATAACTTCTTTTCAAAACTTCAAAGCATCTTAGATATGATGGCCCTTCAGGTTTTCTAAGAAATCCCTGCTTGAAACTGAGACTATGTAAAGCAACGCAGCTAACAGATCTTCAACAAACTTACATGAAGAAGTCGCTCCAAGCGCAGTTGAACTAACAGCACTGGAGGACCTGAAAAAATATTCATTTATGCGCAAGGAGAAAAGACAATTGGAAAAAAATTATGCAAACTACGAACTTTCTATGAGTGCCGAGAGGTTTCCCAGCGGGAGGAGGTTTCTCATCTGCGCTAGAGTCGTAAACTGAAAGTATCAAGTTTTTTGACCATAACACAAATCCTTTCAACTACAAGATTAAAGAAAGATAGAAACATAGTACGACGAGCGAGCTCAAATGAAATGTTACAGGCCTGCTGCTTCAAGATTCACTAATGTTCAAATGAATGTGAGCAAACCTACCACGAAAAAACCCGAAATGAAAAGTCAATAAAAAATATGAACTGCAGTCTGATACTAACACTGAAAACAATACTTCCGCAGTTTTCTTCTATCCTAACCTTTTTCTATAATGGGAGGTGATGACAGATGTTCTTTTCAGCTAGAAGAGTTAACACCTTTTCCATGGCACAAAACCCTAATAAAACAGCACATTAACACACTGGTGCACGTTTTGGATTTTTTGACAGCGTAGGACCGCCGCGATCTTGGGAACGCGTCCGCCTCACCCCCCCCCCATTTGTTAATTTCCAGTGGAAAAGGCATAAACCGTGGGCGGCACAAAATTATTTCAGCAATACTGATGCGTAGAAACTGTCCAGAGATACAACTCTGGAGTTTCGATCGAAAGAACTTGTAATGGTGAGAGCAAAAAAAGAAGCTATTAGACTTTGTTGCTCTGGATGTGGAAGTAATTTCTCCCTGCTTCAATCGAAACACAGATCTTGTCATCCACCAAGTCCTCCATTTACCGCTACTCAGATGTATTCAGGTAGTTATTAAAAAAGAAAATGAAAAATGAACGAGCTAAAAACTTCGTACGTTCAGAATAAAATAATGTTCGCTCAAGGCATGTCACAATATTCTGTGAGTCACAACGCTAGTGGCAACGCTGAGACCTCGGTCAGACTCGGCGATTGCGTCGCTGGACACCAGCGACGGAGCCGCCCGGCACAAGAGTGGCAGCAACGGGCGATGACTCAGCACACGATCGATATCGGTTGGCAGGGGGAGATTAATCATCCTCACCCATCGTTCATGTGTTCTGCTCGGTTTTTTTTTCAAATTCTTAATCAGGATAGTGGTCCTCCCTGTCATTGTAATAACCTCAAAGGTATCTTGAAGTAACTAGCTCGAAACTTGATTGGTTCTTTGATCGAGTGGGAAAATCCATGATAGTTGTATTTCACAACTTCTTTTGGTGTATTGTATTTCACAACGTCAATTATTACAGGACCACCTTCCTTGCATTCAAGTGCATCCCACGCAGTCTTTTCTGCTGACAATTGATTTTGGGTGAGGATGATTAATCTCCCCCTTGACAACCGATATCGATCGTGTGCTGATGAGTCATCGCCCGTTGCCCACTCTTGTGGCTGGCGGCTCCGTCACTGGTGTCCAGCTGGACGGCAAGTCGCCTCGAGTCTGACGAGGTCTGGAGCGGTCGAGATTTATTAGACTGGAGCCCACAAAAAAAAACAGAAAACAAACAAATCGCGATGCACGCGAAAAAGAAATGGATGACAATTAGGGACACAGAGTGATCTAGTCGTCCGGCGTGCAATACGTTCGAGCTTTAATCTGCGCTGATGCTCACTGCCTCGCCGTCTGTCTTAGGCCGGCATAGTCATAGGTTATTCGCGAATCGAGCGATTCGCTAGCGAATCGCTCGATCCGAGCGTTGCGCCAGCGAATCGAACGTTGCACCAGCCCACCGAACGTTGCACCAGCGAATCGAACTTTGCGCCAGCGAGTCGAACGATGTACCAGCGAGTCGAACTAGGTACCAGCGACTCAATAGTGGCGGGACCCAACTTTTAAAGGAAGCCCGCCACTTTCAAACAGTGTCACGTGACAGTGGACGCTGTTTGAAAGAGTGGCGGGAGTTGACAGTGGGCACTGTTTGAAACATGGCGCACTCCTTTAAAAGTTGGGTCCCGCCACTATTGAGTCGCTGGTACCTAGTTCGACTCGCTGGCGCAAAGTTCGATTCGCTGGTGCAACGTTCGATTCGCTGGCGCAACGCTCGGATCGAGCGATTCGCTAGCGAATCGCTCGATTCGCAAACTATGACATCGGCCTTAGATGTTCCCGAAAGTTAGCGCGATTTTTCGCGAAAGTGCGATGAATACTGCGAGTTGTTGTTTAATCCTGCTGCGAATTCTGCTTGGCAGTAAAGATTGGAAGACGAATGTTTGTGGTTCTACTTGTTTCATGTTCAATGTCTATTAGTTCATTGAAATGCTCTTGAATCGTTCCTATTTTTTTTTCAGGAATCAAACCAAACCAATCACAAAAATTGCAAGTGCCAAACAAGTGGAATCATGAGCAGTCCATTAAACCATAACCATCAAGCAGAAGTGACGGCGGGATTGGAGAACACCTTGCAGTATGGATGGGGCACTTGTGATTTCCGTGACCCGTCGCGCAAATCGCGAAAATCGCGCAAAGGATCGCGGACTCTGACACCAGCCTAGCGATAATCGCTCACGACTTGAACGATCTACGAACAGAAATGTTTTAAACCGTCGTAAGTGCTACAGATGAAATACTTACTGTCACTGTTGGTAAAAGCGGGTGATGGAGTAACACTTTCGAGATGTCTCTGCGGACGACTGGACGCTGTTGAGACGGTTACCGTGGCACCTATGCAAATTCAAGTGACATTTGGACTCAATAAAACAGCTGTTTTTGTTTACCTGCACTGGAAGGAGTCGTGGTCGTAACCAGCGCAGATGGAAGAGGACGCTGTAAAAACAATTATCAATTACTCTGTGCTTATAAGGCAAAAGAGAAACCTACCACTTTCGGCAAAATTGAGAGAATAGGCTTCATAATAGAGCATGTTGGAGACGGTTGCGCTGAAGTGCACTAAAAATAAAAAAGAATGAGTTATAGTTAATGGCTGACAAAGGAGAAGGAAAACAAGCGTGAACTCGGTCAGTCACCGTGGTATCTTTTACTGGAGGCTTTTCTTCTACAGAAGAATTTGAGGATTCTTTATTCAAATGGCCACTGCTGTCATTTGAATCAACAGCCTTTTTGCTTGGTACTATAACATCTTCGCCGGCAGATGCCCTCTGCCTTGGTCTACGTGGACGAGCTGCTGGAATTAGAGTTATTCAGTATCAACAGCACAACAAAGAATACCACGAAATAGGCAGACACACCGGGAGTTTCATTAAGTGTTGTGGATGACTTGGATTTCTCTTTAGAAAGATTCAACTTCAACCTTTTCCCTTTGCCTTGCGATGTGTTTTCCGGCGTAGAATTCTAGAATATCAAAAAAGCGTATTGAGTATTTGAATCCAAAGTGAGCAAGGAAAAAATGCAGAAGAAAAAGCCACATAAGTGAAGAACACACTCTCACCTTCCGTTTGCCCCGCTTTTTAGTAGTAGGGATTTCTGGTTCAGACACAGCAGAGACCTGAATGAGCTTTTAACTTTACATCTTTTGCTCGATATACACTGTATCAGAAATAATTCAATCCAGCCATACAGCGGTAAATTACAGACAACCATGAGAGCAAGCAAACGTGCAAGGGCGGGAATTTCACTGCAGTAAATAGTTTTACAACCGTCTATTACACCTACTAGATTCAGATTCAAAATGCTGAAATGGACCGATAACGAGAGCGTACAGTGAAAATTGAACCTACGTTTTTATCCTCAGCCGATTCTGCATCAGTTTCAAGGCGAGGCTCGAGTTCGATATTTTGAGATTCACATGCGTTGTCTTTTGTAACCTCAGTACAACTACTGAAACTGCTCGGTTCCTCCTTTTTTATGATCCCATTGATATCGTCCAATAATCTGTCGATGAGATCTTGTCTAATTCCTGTGCGGCTCAATCCTCTTCTCGACAGTTCCTGCAAAAGAAAAAACGTGAGCGACAATGTTTCCAGTGAAAAACAAATGAGCGTTTTGCAAAACCATAGCTTAGGATCAAAAAGATGGGTTACAAAGTTAAATGCTATGGACAAAAGGGCGCAATGTGGCTCGGGGGGGGCAGCCGCCGCGCGCCGTTGCGGCAACAGGAAATTCGTGAGCCAGGGGGAATGTAGCCAATTCAGGGGGGTGGGGGTGAGGGCAGTCACTTAGACATGCGTGAGAAGCTGGAATGTTCGAGTTACACTACATCGCTGAGCCGCGCGCGGCGACTGCCCCCCCCCCCCCCGACCACACTGCGCCGGACAAAAGGGTAAAAGGATAAAGATGCCGTTGATCAATCCCTTTTGGGATGCGGCACGCATTCTACTTCCATTTGTACATTCGTAGTGGCGTTTGAATGCGATGTGGCCTATGACTTGCGGGGGCCAGCCGATGTACAAGTCAGTGTTTTTATCCTCCCAGACAAGTCTGGTACCAATTAACCGACCCCGGAGGGATGGAAGGCTTGGTTGGCCCGGGCGACTCCCGACCACGCGCGTGGTAAGCGTGCCACTTGCCACTACATCGCTGCCGCTATCAAAAAAAAACCATGGAAGGGTGATCAAAAATTCAGATCTTGGCACTGATTCGGAAGCAACGCGAAAGAAGTAATTACATCCCAAAAATTACTGCTGATTCTAGAATTGACGGAAATTGAGGAAAAAAGTAAAAAGAAGAAGAGGGAGAGATAACCGACCACCCCATTTCATGGCTTCCACATGAATTCTGAGGAGAAAGACATTAACAAAATCCGAAGCCCGTACCAGAAGTTATACTAACTAGACATTAGGCTGTAAGACTTACAGAATACTATGCGACATGTTTCAAGTGCCGCTGTTGAAAAATTACTGATTGTAAGTGAGTTGACATGGAAGTACTCTCATGTACGTGATAGCTAACAAGCGACAAGCAATCGCGCAATTGCTCAGCAAATATGCCTTCAATGCTAGAGATGGAGGATAGAATGGAATAGGATAGATGGCGGATCTGGCAACCCTTATGATGGTCGATGTCATAGTTTGCGAATCGAGCGAATCACTTGATCCGCAAACTATGACATCGGCCGATTGGATGTGCATCGAACAAGAGATCGCTCTGATCCTGTTCAGAGTTCCTCGCCGACGCGAGAAAAAAAAACGCAGAGGCGAAATAAAATGAAATATGATTGATTGAGCGAAGACGCAAGATAATCGCAAAACCGGAGGGTCGACGAAAGTTAGCAACAAACGTACGCTTCACTCTTTCAATTTTCAGCCATCCATTTCTCACATTCGATACCTGCCAAACTCTCGAATGAAATTCTTTGTTTTCTTTTGCGTAAGCGGGCAACTCTAAATAGGACCTGGGATAGCAAGACCGCGACCTAACGGTTCGCATTAAAGTGATCTTTTTGTTATTGCTTCAGAACTTAAAACACTCTCGTTTAGTGGAAAAAATTGACTATGCTGAGGAGGTTAATGAAATTCCGAAGGCAATTAAAAGGATCCACAACGATTGTGAATCATGTACAAAAAAATGAAAGCAGAGTCGCTAGAAAAAAACCAGAAGAATCCCAAATATCAATGATTGAACCTTCTTGACTATTAGCGCGTGGGAGCTTGGGGGGGGGGTAGTATGTTTTCGTACGGCCACCAGCTTTATGCTGATAATCTAGAGATGAAGGCTCGCGAATTGTTTCATGTAATTTATTTCGCCCAGATTTGTCTAACTAACATAACAAGAAAACAAGACCGTTAACCTCGCCACAACATTGATGCTGGTACACTGATTGTCGAGGTGTGTTGAAGCTTCATCACCTTCATCAATATGGTACGTTTTTACGCCCTCGTTGCGCACTTTGGGCTGCGAGAATGGTACAATACCATCTTGTGGACAGCTTTGCTCAACCCATTCAAAGGAACTACCTGGACTCATCGCGAGCGCGCCTTCAAGAATCGATGTAGTGCTTCTTAGAGCATCTACCGTTTTTTGGTAAAGGGAGCCATGAAGAGATAAACTACTGCAAGTCTAGCTTCAGGTCCCTTCTCTTTGTCGATATAGCTAGAGCATAAACTTCACATGAGACATGAGTAGCTTCTTATTTCAAATTCAATGTCGTGGCGTATTTCGCCGTTCAAAAGTGTGCACATAGACATATGACAAAAATCAACATGAAATCGTAAATGTTCAAATCACACGATACTACTCTAGAGTCCTGCCTGCGATGAATGGTGGTAAGCAAAACACGTCCATCTTAGCAACCGTGACTTCATCTGCTCCAGACATTCAAAGTGACCGTTTCAAAAAAGTTATGGAGAACCCACACTATTCCTGAGTTTTTTCTTGTGATCAGGAGGACTTCAACACAACAAAGAATTTCAGCAACGCCGAGAAAGTCATTAATGAACAGCAAAACGGTTTACATACATCTAACTCGATCCGCATTATCTTCGCGAACTACTCTACTGCAGAGCGAAAAGGTTGAGGGGCAAGTTCAATTAATGCCAGGCCATAGGATGCACTAGTTATAGTTATAAACACCTTGGTAGCGATGAATCGCCAAAAATGCAGCGCATTCCAAACAAAGGTTTGAATAAGGAATACAATGCGATTTTTACGAAAACATGGCATATCACAAAAACAAAGCAAGTACGTAACGAAAGGCATTTTCACACCAACCTGTTTCAGTCTTGCGTCGGACCAGAGGAATATCGTGGAAGGCGACAACACCGAATTGTCACCTCTTGCACAACTACGTCGCGGTCGGGAGGACATCTATCACTGAATAATAAAGAAGCAAATTAGTGGAGATGTAAAAAGACTGCCAGCCATCCCTGCGACTGAAACATGTCACAAGGCTAGGCACACCGAATCGAAATGGATGGTAATGAGATTGCATTTCTGAACAAATTAAAGAATAAGGATAGTGGTGCTCTAGAATGTCTTTCAAGCCAGTGAAAAGACAACGACGTTGTTGTGCGAAACACGCTCACCTATGAGCACGTACACAACGAAATCAGACTTTGGACTTTGTTCAGAATTTTGAAATACCAGGAAAGGCATTCAGCTTCCCATGGAACTTTGAATCGAGACCAGATATGTCGATAGAGCTTCAAACATTGATTACACAATATGAAAACTAAAACTGCAAAATGAACCTGCCAAGTAAGTTGTGAGCAGTAAAAAATGGTTGACAATAAAGCGTTTCATATGAACCGTGCAAAGCGAGAGCACTACCACTACTATAGGAAGCTCGGAAGCTAGCCTGGTTCATATGTAATGCTTTACTTCCAGCCAACTTTGACTGCTCACAACTTCCTTGGCAGGTTCATTTTGCAGTTTTAGTTTCCATATTTGTAATCAGCGTTTGAAGCTCTATCGATATACAGTAGCGGTCAAAAGTTTGGAAACTTTTTTATTTTTGATCTAGCGCGGCCGACACATAACGAAATTGCCTCAAATTTAGATATTACATACAAAATCAAGTCCAGAATACGATGGGAAGAATAATTTCCAAAAATCTATAATCATGTTTGAGAAATAAGATTTTTTTCAAGTAATGGCGCGTCAAAAGTTTGGAAACTTTTTGTTTCCCTCATCATTATGATTCCTACTCTTCAATGTTTACTTGTTTCTGTTAATTTTAGTTCAACCATTGAGTAATGTGTAATTTCAAAATGAATTCATATGCAAAGGAAGCAGTTTTTCCATGGGAGGTCCTTTTTTAAACCCTACAATCCGGAATACGAAATTGAAATTGTTTCTTAGTAGTTCAGTCTCTACGAAAGCAATATTATCGAATGTTTTCAGTGTACGGCTGCTCATTCACAAAAAATATTCTCACATGAAAATTGGCCTCTCAAAATACTTCGAAGGGTGGTTGGCACGTCCCGTACCCCCGACATTCCCAACTAAGAGACGATTTTTCTGGTTTGAACCTAATCGTATGAAAGTCCAAGCACAGCCCAACATCGGCCACGACCTGGTGAATATCACGGATGATATCCCAACAAGAAGCCATTGTTGGGCTATCATCCGTGATACTCAGCAAATAGCAGGATGGCCCAACTGGCTTCCGCACACTAACGGCTAACATAGACCGAAGGCGAGAGGTGAAAACTTTGTCCTCAGCGACGAGCAGGATTTCTATCTTCCTAGAAATGATGTTGTGGACCCTGTGAAGTGTTTTGTCAAATGGAAACCTCATTTTGAGTATAAGATTCCAACAGTCAGAAATAGTGGAAGTATTGTCATGGATGAAGATGTGTCCGACCATTCGGCGATTCCCCAGTTCTATGTATCCAGCGAAATGTGGGTTGGGCTAAGTACAAGAATAGTCTGTAGAATACAATGCTTCCCTTCGATAGTCAGAACTAGCCGAAAAAGATGGGTTTTCTATCGTGGAAATGACCCAATGCAGGCCTACCTCCTCACTGCCGCCTTCCTAAACCCAGAAAAAGAAGCTGTTATGAAGCGACCAAGTCAAGATCTGAAGTCTAATTGAGTTCTACATCCCACGGAAGAACTGGGCATGTCGCTCAACCCACATTCCAGTTAAGAATCCCACCAAACAATGTGATTTAGTTCACAGTGTGCAGGGTTCGACTTAAAAGTCCTAAAATTATTTTATAATCAACTCCATGTCAATAAAAACGACGCTGACATAGAAATTCAAAGCTACTCATCGAATAACTAATTTATCATGTAGATTCGAGAGCTATTTTGCCGAATTCGCTTTGGAATTGAGAAGTTTCCAAACTTTTGACGCGCCATTTCTTATAAAAATTCGTATTTTTCAAAAGCGATCTCGTTTTCAAAAAATTATGTTGCTCATCGTAATCTACACTTGATTCTGTATATAATATGTGAATTTGGGACAATTTCATTGTCTATTGGCTACACTAGATCAAAAATAAAAAAGTTTCCAAACTTTTGACCGCTACTGTATTTGGATCATGATTCGCAGCTCCATGGGAATTGAAATGCCTTCCCTGATAAGTAGCCCGGTATCAATATCTTCCTCCTCCGAGCTACCTGACACATTAATATGAATATTTAAGTCCCAATGCTGAATGATAAATTATTTGCCAACTAGGTAGTTCAACCTCTATTCAAGTTGAAGGGGATCCTGAAGAGCAAATAGAAAAGTTATCGGTCCAAGCTACTGCATAACCTCCGATCTCTAACAAAAGAAAATTCACGTGGTAAATTGGTTCGAAGGCTCAAACTCTGTACATACTGCCATTGGAATTGTTCACAAGAAAGCTGTTGAAATAAATGAAAGGATTCATTATAGCATACATAGAATATCAAGCCCCACTTAACCTACCATTCGTTCAAAAAAAGCGTGCCGTGTAAGTTATCCAGTGCTAATCTCAACGTTTTTTTAGCAAGAGTATTTGAGCACATCTTAAACCGATACCATTGCAAAATTCAATACTGGGTGCTTTGAAGGCTAAAAATGACCTATCGAGGAAATAGATAGCCACGAACGTTCCAATGAATCGACAAACAAAAGGTAAATCAGCAAGACATTCTCCAAAAAACAAGAGGAGCCTTTCGAAAAGTGTGAAAAATCGAAAAAAAATGTCGCAGCACGCCATATGCGTGCGGTTGCGGCGCGTGTTTGTGATTAGAGGCAGCACGTCAGCGCTACACCAACCGAAATTGCACACAGGCCGTTGTTCGTGGAGGCTGCTCAATACGTGCTGCAGAAAATCCCTTCAGATCACGTGCCAATACCGTACCGTTGCGCGAGATTCAAAATTTTGCACACCACCATCTCTTCTGGAGGGTATCTGTAAAATTGAAAACAAATTGGTATGAGCTTTCGTTTCCTTTTAGGCACTTTAGGCCCATCATCGTTGTAGGGGCCGTCACCGACATGGGGCCGTATGCTGAATGTTGGGGAGGGGATGGGATGGGGAAGGTTGGGGAGGTTCGTCGCAGGACCCACTGGGCAACGGCCGCACCTTTGATTTTGTAGCTTTGTTTCCATTCTTTCATTGCTGTTTTTGGATGAAGAAAGGTATTGACGAGCGAATATACAATCAGGAACAGTAAAAGAATGGAAACAAAGCTGCAAAATCAAAGGTGCGACCGTTGCAAAGTGGGTCCTGCGACGAACCTCCCCAACCTTTCCCCATCCCCGTCCCATCCCCAACATTCAGCGATACCCCCAGGAGCAGAGTCAACCCTGCGTTGCGCAGTTCGCAACGGCACGTTGAGAGATCCTCAACGCACGCTGTATGGGCGGAGACACAGACGGCTCGAGCATGCGAGTGTGAATGTTCGCGCGAGAGAACGTGTCTAATCGGGCGAAACTGCGCAACGTGGCCGTTGAGAACTGCGCAACGCAGGGTTGACTCTGCCCAGGAGGCCCGTCGCGCGGCAAGAAGGCAGAGTCGGCGGACGAGTTGCAGCGCGTGATGTGCGATGTAGGACGTGCAATGGGACATTCTACTAACACTTAACACTCGCCACTAAATCTACACCGGAAAAAGCGCTGGACGAATTTTTGGATGAGTCTTTCGCGCGCGTCTTCAGAATTTGAGGCTCGATCTGTTCATTTCATTGTCGGACCAGTGCTCGCTATCCCGTCCAATGCCGATTGCAGCTCCTACACTAAACGAGGGCGCGAAAAGTGATAGTAGATGGTAGAAGAAGGAATCAGCCAGGGAAATACCAAAATTCAAAATACGACGCTGGCGCGACGACTCTATCTTCTTGCGACGTGCTCTGGCAATAGTCTGCGTTAAGAAGTTTGCGACGACGGCTCAATGTACCCACCTGCCATTTTGATATTTGGTTTAGCTCCTAGGACAATTTAGTTGCAGTTCTAAATCCGCTTCATGACTAAAGTTTCAAGGCCAGCACAGTAACTTTCACTGCTTCCTGTTACCCTTTGTGCGGAGGTTCATTTGATTTTTATTGTGAGTCGAGTAACAGCTTTAGCAGTAACTTAAAGGCACAACCCAGGCAGAGTTCGTGTGAACGCTTCCTTCGGTCTGTAGTATAGACCCCTAGAGGACAATCACAAATGTGGCGTTCTCGTGCACGGAAACCAACCGACAAGAGCGCTTGGGCCTTGCAAAGTAAGCTGCCCAAGCTGCAGACTTTTTTCTTATCAGGCTGTTGTCTGGCGCTCTCTCATCTGTAGCGCTCTCTCGCCTCATACTCTCCTCTCCGCGCTTAGTCTCTCATTCCCTTAGCACAGCCGATTAGGAAGGTGAGTGAGCCCTTAACCTAAGCGTTTTTGACGGATTCTTTTCCTTTTTCTTTACTGCCGGCCCACTTCCCACCAGTACAATCACATCAGCCGACACTGGGCCATCAATGTGATCCTGGGATGCGTTATAAACTTGCTTGGAAAATTCGAACGCGGAAGCCTCAATCGCTCTTCGACCACTGGAAGTGCTTCTCTAAATTGAAGAGCCGAACTTCCTGATAGAATTTTGGCATTAACACGTTGACGACATCGCATGTTTTGGCATTTTGCACCTCGTGGGACAGGAGCGATTTTGCGACCGCGCCGTCCTCACCTTACTTACGCTTATTTTTTGTTAAAAATGCACAATAACTTGAATTTCATAGGACTATTTCGGCAAGGACGATCGCACAAAGGTTAAGTATATAAGTAGCCAAAGGTTTTCGTTTAGAAGAGCGCATAATAACCACGAAGAAGTAAAAAAAACATCACTTTCGCTGCGAATGAAATTAAAAGCATTTATATCTAAGTACTCCCATCAAATCAAATATATTGAAACTCACAGAGT